TTAAAAAATGGTAGAGCAGAAAGAATGGAAGAAGTTGATGACTTAAGAACCACCAATTTCATTCCACAAATGAATGAGATGAAATGCAGGGTATTCATTTGGGTATACAAATCAGTAGTTGCCACAGCTTTGCACACAGTACTAGACTAGGTAAACTGCATTTTCATGTGGAGTGAACTCAAAATGAAAGACATATGCATTCACTGAACTTTTCGTACACTGACATTGTTTGTATAGGAAAGGGTAATTTCTAAAGTGAAAAATAAGCAGGAACTTCTGACAATAGAAAACAGGGAAGAAGATTACAGGTAGCCCTCAACATTTGTTTAGCAACCATTCAAAGTTAAGACAGCGCTGAAACAAGTGACTTATGACCAGTCCTCACACTTATGACAGTTGCAGCATCCATGCTGTCACATGATCATGATTCAAGCGCTTAGCAACTGTCACACATTTACAATGGTTGCAGCATCCTGCGGTCAAATGATTGTCATTTGTGACCTTCCCAACTGGCTTCCGACAAGGAAAGTCATTGGAGAAGCCAGCAGGGAAGGTCGCAAGTTAGGTCACATGATGCCTCACTTAATGACCGGGGCGAAAAAGGTAGATAAATTGGGTGCGGTCATGTGATGCCTCACTTAATGACTGCACTGCTTAACGACAAATTTTCTGGTCCCAATTGTCATAGGTTAAGGACTATCTGTATGGGGGGGAAGTATTTAGACATATTAGCAAATATTTTTCCTGGAATAATGATCTCATTTTTATTTTCATCATCCATATGTCATTGTTTAAGCTCATTATCTTGTACTGTCACATTGCTCTGTGGTTTCTTCCCCCCCAATGATAAAGAATTATCCAGAAGCTGTTCTGTAAGATTATGTTAAACCTTCCCATTTTATCTACCATACTTTCTTAGTGTTCTTTCCATTGGCTTTTCCTTACTGTGTTCTCTGATTGTACACCAAAGCTATCAGAAGATGCTTCAGCAATTTCTGATGTGTAGCTGCCTTGACAATGAATTCCAGCCCATTTGCCCTAACACTATTAGTCTTTTTTATGGTTGTGTTTTACTGCTTGTCCATAAAAGCTGGCCTGCAGTTCTGATATCTACTGGGTATGTATCAGAGTTAAAAAAAGTCATGTTTTGCTAAATGTCTGCCAGATGGAAATGTGTAACAGGAGCTCAGATTCTGTCCTTCCATCTGTCCAGTGAAGATATAAACTATTTTGTTCCTAAAGGGCAAATCTCTGAAACTTATTATACCATTTCCCAGCCCCAGTGATAACATACCATTTAGCACAGTGGGGCAGGCAGAGGAGGTTCTGCATGGTAAATGGCAAAATCTCATTCCATTTTCTAGAAGAAATTGAGCTATTAATCAGAATGTCATAAGGCCCTGAGCGCCACTGAAATGCATACTATAATTTAAAATCTCAGAATCATATATTCCTAATATGTTTGTATGTAAAAGTACTCGTTTAAAAAAGAGTAGATATAGAAATACTGGATTAAATTGAGATGGGTGTAGCACCTTTTTCCAGGCCCTGGAGAGACTCTCTTAATATGATTGTTTCCTCCATTCAAAAAGCCCTCTTTTTGTAATTTTATTAAAGAAACCAGAGCAATATTCTGAATTTTGAATCTACTAGAGACCATATGAAAACTTTCTGAAATGAACATAGAATCTTTCTTTAAAAGATTCTGATGAGTGCTTTTCCAAGGGAGTATGACATTGAACATATATCTGAATCCAAAGCTTAAATGTTGTTTGTTTGTTTTTTATAACTTACAGTAGCTGAATAGAATGGGAACTATCTCGGGAGCAAAGCTCAGGGTAAGGGGGAAGTTGGTTTCTCCTGGCTGTTTTTTCCCAAGTAATTCAACCCCCCCACCCCGCCAATCTTTGGTGGCAAGTAGAAGCAATTGACTTTAAGATAAATATTGGGTACGCTGATTTGGGCTACTAATTGCTCACAACTTTCACCTAAGAATGTGATAATCTGCCAGACCTTTTGCAGCTATCTCAAATGTAAGTGAATCTTTTCCAAACATTGTTCCTACAAAGTTCTCTTTAGCAAGATTTATTAAGATTAAAAGAGCAATGTACAGAGTTCCAGCAAGTGAACTACTTTCAATTTAAAATCAATATATCTCAGAGAAAGTCTTTTTCTCACAGTCTTATGGCGCATCAGAGGAGGCCTCTTTCTTCATTGATAATGGGGAAGTCTGTAGCTGGATGCTTGT